TGTCGTGGAAACGACGAGACCCCTATATTTTTCCGCGTTTTCCTTATTTTCTACGGCCATTTGTACGACACTTAGACTTAGAACCAGTAGTTAGAAGCATGTGACCAGTCACCTGACCCCCACCTGCAGACCGGCACTAATGTGCGCACAGACCACCGTTACGTTTGTACATGTTTGGCTCCCCTGACTCAGTATATAAACCCCACCTGTAGCGACCCTAGCCCTCATCTTGACCTCTTGGTCCTTGGGCTAGGTAAGCCGTCCTTTGTATTCTCTTAGTCAGCATAATATTAACTTGGTCCTTGGGCTAGATTTGACTTGAAAGTCTACGCTCGGCGTTAGCAAGCCTTCGCGCTCGCCGCCCTTGGGTTAGATCGTATTAGTTTCTTTGTTGTAGGCGTTGCCTGGTCGCGTCGAGTCTAGCTCCGCGACAACGCCCATGTGTATCAGGCAAAAGTCGCAAAGGCATATCTGCTTTTCAAAACGAGGTGATGGAAACAGCCGCATGATTTGCCTTCTCACCTGGAACGGAAACAATCCCTGGAAGAATACGCAGGACGCGCGTCGCCCAAAGCCGGCCATGTATACTGGCATCGTCTGTGGTGCAGGGTATTCAGCTATTACTCGACAAGCATCATGAGGCTCTCAGAACAGAAATGGGAGTAGGAGGACAGCGTACCGCGTATCATTGCCAGAGAATACACTATCGCGCCCACCTCTGCCACATGAATCCCTCGCATGACTGCAGATGGAAGTCGGTGAGACCTATGCACGGGGTGAGGCGATCGATTTGACCTTACAGAATACACTTACGCATGTAGAGTAGTCATCCGCCGCTGTAGCAGAATACATACGGTGTAGAAGAGAAGCACGAAGTCGAAGACGAAGGTGAGGGCAATTCGACGCCGACGCCACACGGTCACATAGTGAGTTTCCACGTGGCACGCGTCCACTTCGGCGCCTCGGCTCCGGGCTCAACTTGTTGTTCTCCCATACTCGTCTTCCTCCATCATCCACTCAAACCGGTCGCATTTTCCAACGCGCGTTCTGAGAATGCCTGTCAGTCAATACTGCCTCAGAACCTGTTTTTACAAATCCATCTAGCTTCGACTACACTGTCAGTCTGTCGCTGTAATGTACTCCACCAGGGGTTATATGCAACTATCCTTCTCCAATCACCAACACGATACACGGGGACAAAACTGATCCCGCAGAACCCAAAATATCCACCCAGTTGACCCAAGCCCTCTAGTACCCCATCGTGCGAATTGTAATTGCGCAAAGCCCGTGAGACATTTCTTACGTCGCACCGGAGATTCTTGGTAGCTCGAAGACGAGGCTCGCTGACATATGCACACAGCGTTTCAATCGCAATTAGGCCTCAAATATCCCCACACTTCCACGGCCGTGCACGATCGGAGCAGGAAACCGCTTTTCGCTTCTGAATGAAGAGATACAGCATGCGATTTGAGAGTTTGCGGTCCTCTCAAGAGGTACATGATGCCAGTTCCCTCAAATCCTCGCATATCGACAATACAGAGTGCACGATTGGTGCCCTACCCTGCCCATTTTTGACGAAACTGAATTGAAACGGACGGTCCTTTTTTCCGTTGGCTCGCGCACGCACCACCGGCGAGAGACGCATAAATACGTTTCTAGGAGGTAGAACAACACACTAGGAGATACCTCACGGCCACGCTGGTTGATTCAGACAGATATCATCCTGGATTTGCATGTGTTGACTTCAAGTCAACTCCTTGCTTGTTGATCTAACATTGAACGTACAGGATAGGTATCACACCGCACGACCCACTGCGGGGCGACCGCCGGAATGCGCGTTCTGGAGTCCCATCTATATACAAGTCCCAGACTTCACTCGTACCGCACAGCCTCTACTCCATCGAGATCACCGGCCGTACGTGCACCGTGCCATCCTTTGCGGCGGAGACTAGGACGTCGTCCTTAGTGAATGCCACAAGCGTCACTTCGGCGTCCCCGTGTGCAGAGCAGATTATCGTGATTATATGGCTTGCTAGTACGTCGTTTGTCTTCCAGGCTATGACAGTACCGTCGGAGAATCCGGAGGCGACATAGTTTCCGCTCGGCGAGAAACACAGGCTGTTGATGGCTGTCAACATACTCTACTAGACACTGCGTAATCGACGGGGAGACCGTGGGACGTATGTACACCGTACCACCTTCCGCCGAAGACACCAAGACATCGTCCCAAACAAACGCCACCATCGTCGCTGCACCATTGCCAGTGTGCTCTCGGAACACTCTTGGGGGTGCCGTCAGGTCATGCGTCTCCCAGAGACGGACTATGCCGTCGGACGATGTAGCCGCAATGAACTCACCCCCAGGCGAGAAACGCAAGCTCTTGACCGATGCCGAGGTACTGTGGCCTGCAAGCCGGTACTGAATGAGGGTTGTGCTTGTCGAGTCGGGGGCGTGCCCCCACATAAATATTTCCCCGTTGTCCGACGCAGTGAGTAGACGTGTGCCATCGAGCAGCCACGCGTTGACGTGTTTCCCGTTGTAAGTAGACGCAAGGTGCATGTTGCCGGGTGAGAACAAGAGTGCGTTTATGGTTTATTTGCCTGCCTTGTAAGTTGTGCAGTTGACCGAATTGATCGTCTTCTGAGCTGTGTTAAACCCGTCTGCGTGCCCGTATGCAGCCCATCTGGCGTCGTGAAATAACGCAGAGACCTTGAATATACTTGGGTAGGATTGTAAGTTGCAAGAGGGTTTCGGTGCAGCAGTGGTGCCGCTCGGCTGCGAGGGCTCTGTCATTGGGCGACCCACGTGATGGGTTGGAGGCTTCTTGAGAACTGATAGAGTTTAGGTAGTAACTACCACAGCATGTGTCTCCGATCCTATGTAGCCAAACAGTTTAGTAGTACAAGTTCCTCCTTCATCACATTTGTGGGTTGTATATGCACCGTCCCGTCCTTCGCACCGGACACCAAAACGTCCCCTGACCGACTGAACATCGCTAGTGTTGCTTCATGGTTGTGCTGCTTTGCGATATAGCAGGTCTTATCGCAGTCGGATGTCTGCCAGACGCGGACGAGGCCGTCGGACGACGCAGATGTCACGAACCGACTATCCGGCGAGAAGCATAGTCCATTGACCGCCCCGGAGTCATAGTTGTCTGCGAGCGGTTGAAGACCGGGAATATATGACACAGTGGCCTCGAATTCGAGTGGCCATTGGTGGAGAAATATCTCCCCATTGTCCAATACGATGAGCAGCCACCGGCCGTTGGGCGAGAGCGACACACGTCGCACGGGGATCGAGGGTAGGCCTTCCATGGTATATATCTTGATTGTCAAAACCTCCAATTTCCTACGGACGTCCCAAACGCGTGCAAGTCCATCGTTGCAACAGGCCGCGAGGTACCTACTCTTGGCGTCGAAGTCGACACTCCATATCGTTGACCATGGCCATCCGGTTCGGTTGTGCAGACGGTAGTAAATCCGGCAGCGCTCGGTGTCCCAGAGGTAGCAGAAGTCTCCTCCTGCAACAAACATGAGCAGGGTGTTATCTGGAGAGAAGCGGGCGTAGGGGCGGGCTGGGGGGAAAGAGGTGCTCGATTCAGGGTTGGTAGGCAAAGCAGCGGTGACGTCCCAGGTCCATATAGACGTATTTTGAGTGTACATCGTGATTCGCGTGTCGGAGGCCCAGGCCATCACGTGAATAGCATCGCTGTCGAGGCGGAGAGTCAACTCTGGTTTCAGAGGTTCCAATAGGAGGAGGTCATCGCATTTCGAGGTGGACCGGACCTTGATGAGCCCGTTCCCAAGCGCGAACGCGAGATAGTCACCCTTGGGAGAAAAAGCAAGTGCAAGGATGGCGGAATTCTCAACCGCTTGTCGAGTTTTTCTGCTCGGTTGAGCCGCATTATGGAGGACAATCGTCCCATCCTGTGAAGCACTGGCTACCCAACTTGAGTCCGGTGACATGGCTGATGAACTCTGAACCTGGAAGGCTGTAAGCCGCACAAAGAGAGGTCTTCAGTCTGTGAGAGAACGACTATGATTGCATAGTACTGTACCTGTAAGCCGCACAAAGAGAGGCTACAAGTACTAGTAAGTAAACATGTAAGGAAGCATAGGTAGTGTGGGACTTACTCTTCAGTCTGTGAGAGAACGACTGAAGAGCAGAGGCCTGCAGAGTCCTCCTTATATACTACTGGGGAGGACGATGAGTAAGCGTATAAGAAGAGAGCATGTGACGTCCAGAGGACGCTGACTGAGCGATGAGTAACGCTGAGTAAGGGAGCATAATCGACATAAGGTCAGATAGTCCATGGCTGAGTAATGCGAGTAATCCGGACGCTGTCTAGAATAGTCCGGAACATCGTAGAACGTACCAGAATCATGTGGAGGGATGGCAGGATGCCAAGTAAGTACAGAACAAAAGAATGTACGTATATGGTAAGTAGGAAAGTCCATGCTGGCGTATGGTAGACGCACAGCCACTATCACTGCCACTCCCGGTCCGGCACAGCCGTAGACACAGAAGTTCAACACTCCCACTCGTTCAAGATGTGGAGGACACCAAGCCAATGCTGCGACGGAAACGGTCCAATATGGAGAAGGGCACGTTTTTTGTCAGCGCGTCAGCAAGTTGCTCCCCAGAAGCAACATAGAACACCTCAACGCTCCCACTTTCGACCTGCTCTCGAACATATGGTAGCGGATGT